AATTAAAAGAAGTACTTTATATGGTTAGATACGTATTTGAATCCAGTTTCTGATGGATCAAGTGGAGAAATTGTAAGTATAAAGAATAATATAGAATATTGTTTTTTACAAGTAGCGTAGACTATCAGAGTCAGAAAAGTGCAGTAAATTTTGCAATCAGTAAAGATTACAAGTATTTTGAAGGCACCTCTCATACCTGTATGAGAAGGGTATTGGTGTAGGAAGAAAATGAAATTACCTATATTACAAGGAAGCTTTAAATTTAAGAAGAAAACTTTTCTAAGTTATGAGTAAAAGTTAATAGATACTGTACTTGTTTGAAGATAGTGGTATAATGGAAAGATAATAAGTGATGGATCAACAACATTGATCATAAAGAAGTATAAATTAAAATAAATAGAAAGGATAGAGACTTCCTAAAGATTATAAATGAGTTTTAAATTATGGATTACAAAGAAGCTAGCTTAGAAGTTGATATGTTACGCTGAAAATTCTATTTTGTATTGAAAGTTGTCAATTTTTAATTATTAAATGGAAGAAGATAGCATAACGAATGCAGGGGTAAAGTTAAAGTTTATTCTGTTAGAACAAAAGAAGAATATAAAAGTACATGTTAAGTATAGAACATGAAAACGAGGATATATTTGAGGATTATAGGATATGTTTGAGGTAGTAAAGAAATAAGAAAAGACTTTCACTCTAGAAGGAAATAAAAACATAAGGAATTAAAGAGAATGGTTTAGAAGACCAAGTATGGCAAGGGTTATAAACAAGTACGGTTTAAATGTCATTGGAAGGAGAGTAAACAATTTTCAATTCTCAATGGAAAAAGAAAAGCATGGATTTGAAACGATTATCCGATCTCATATAAAAAGTACAATTTTGCAATGATATAAACTGAAATAGAAAAGTACCGATCTAAAATGGCACAATACAGTCTGAATTACATATTTTTATAATAAATTCTTATTACGAGTTAACAACTGATTTTATACATGTTTTATTTTATTAATATTTGTTTATGATATTATATGTTTTATACGTTAAATATTTTATTTATTTTATTTTACTTGGTTGCCTCATTAAGTGAAAACTTAGCATGTTTGTGTTTCACATGTAGGTGCAAGCTAGAAGGAAAAGTAGGAAGTGCATCAACATCATTTCCAATGAATCAGTTATGCCACCATAATCAGTAAGTAAGGACATCCTATCTGTTAATTTATTTGGTAGTGGCATGTATATTAAAGAAGTTTTTAGCTACTCTGATTCGATTTTGTTTAAGATATTTTTGTTTAAATTATGAAGTTTTGGTTTTCCAAAGGACATTATTAATTATGAATATTAGTTTATTAAATCATGATTATTTATGATAGAAAAGTCTAGCAGTTTTCTAGTAGTTTTGATTAAGTTATGATACAATACAAAATTACCTAAAATACTATCTGAATTGAATTCAAAATTTGATATTTAGATATTAAATTGTGATTTTTATTATTAGTTTTAAAATAAAGAAATGTATTTTGAAATTTTAAATAAATAATTTTTTATTGGTTTTCAAATAGTAAATGTTTCGTATAGCTGATGAGACATCTTTGACTCGTATATGGGTATGTATATGGGTTAAGGGTGTTATACACGATCGGGGAACAACATATATGACTTGGGCCCCACAACTAGAGCCATATCACTTATCATCTACAAACAATGAAATGAGATCGGGATAACCGAAATTCAGATTAATGAAATGTTCAAAAGAAGAGTCCATGGCATTCTGGAATATCTTGTCACTGCTAAAAGCAAGGCTAATGATGTTACCGTATTTTCATTTCTCATCCATGAGTCGTTGAACATATTTAACAGGATCTTTCAATCCTTTTACACCAGAGTTTACCCGTTTTTCTGAGGTGAGATGCCATCACATCTCGTATCATTAACACACCATCAAGAAATATATATACCAAGCCGGATTTTTCCATGTGGACTAATCTCATAAGGTGGTTAGCAATCATCTCATTCTCCACGACAATAGTGATAATGACTTCAGTCTTGGCATCCAAGTAGTGTGCATCTCTCTCGGTTTCTTCGTTTAGATGAATCTCCAACTTCTTTAGATAGTCCCCACAATTACATTACTCAATAAATTTTTGACATTCATCCTTGTGAAACTCAACAAAAACCTCAAGAAATTGCTTCTCAGAATCCTTCTGATAAATAGAACATCCCATATCCATAAGCATATTGATTATAATGGCAGATCCAGAAATATTTTTAGGGTGGGCACAACTAAAATTTCATGATAGAAAAAACTATTAAAATATGTAATTATCGAAGAAAATTTAAATTTAAGGATGGTGAACTAATAACTTAAAACAAATTAAGGTTTAATTACAAAACTTTTAATTACAAGAGAATGTAAAACTTTTATTAATACACAATTCAATTGCAATATAACAAACTTACCCCGTTATTTTTTTTCTTCTCTACCTATAAGTTTTCTTACTCTAACACACTTTTTACACTCTTCACTACTCTAGTAACAATGATAAATCCCATCTCATATATATTTTAGTGTTCATTGGATTGTTGATACATGTCAACATTTTAGCTATTAATCTTGTAAATGTTGAAGATATTTTATAGATAATTCTAGATGTAATATCAAATGTTATAAATATCTAGATTATTTTATGAATATTTTTAGATATATATTATTTTAGAATATTCTCAAGATATATCACATAAATAACAATTATATATTTATATGGTGGCTCTCTAACATTAGCATTTTTAATGATAAAAAAGAAAATATTTTATTTTAAAATAAAAAATTAAAAAAATAATTTGTACAAAATCTTTTTAATTTGATACTATTAATTCTTCTCCATTATTCTCTACAATCGTACGCTGATAAAGCTTTTGTTTTCATATTCGTTAGATATTCGATATGACTTGACAAAATATCCTGGTGCAGTCCCTCTATATTAGCTTGAGTTTCTTCTTCTGCTTTCCCAATCAGATAAGGCAACAATGTCGACCTTGTATTGAATAACAATTGGCTGAAGATACCTCGTACAAAACAAGTTGCCTATAACGGGAAGTTCTATTGTGAGGCACCTAAAATAAGGCTATTAAATGGTGTGACCAATAAAAAAAATTAATAGGTTAAAAGTGGAGTACAAAATGTTATAAATTAGAATTGAAAAAGTTATCAGTCAGAGTAACATAACAGGTTGCACTAAAATGTTATATATGGTAAGAAAATATGTTATAATCGATAAATGTTATGGATACTATTAACATTTTAGGTTTCACCTAAAACGTTACTAGGGTTTAAGATGATGGTGCCTTGGACATTCTCACGATAAAAAATAAGTTAAAAGCTGAAAATGTTATGAATATATAAGAATTAAGTTAAGCCAAGAATGTCATGATTCACTAATAAATAGGTTGCCATATGTAATATTAATATTTTATTAAGATACGCTATATTCTAACAAACTTTTATGCTCTTCAAACCATTTAGGATTGAAACTTCGCAATTTATCATTATATTTCTTCTTAGGAAACTTGTGTTCTTTTGGTTGGGACCTTTCAACAAATAAGCCCTTCGAAGTTCTTCATGATCATTATGATAATATTCTATGATTTTTTTGTCTTTTTCAGGATCACCTTGAAGATTTTCAAAGTCAACTTCTAAAAATATTTTTTTTACCAAACATGAATTCTCTATCGTTGTCTTTCTTTTAAAATATTTTTTCATGGAGAAAGAAAAAACTAAAAAAATATATGTTGAATTATAACATAAAAATGACACATATAATGTAAAATAAGAAAGATATATTGTATACATTGTCATTTGTTTGTGGAGAATTCTTAAATTGATCAAGTAGTAACTTTATAACACAAATTAATTGCAATTCACAGCTATTATTGATTTATATTTGATTTTACAATACCATTATTAATTTACAACGTCGTACGTCCACCATTGCTTTATTATTTGATTTTAAATGATTGAATTATTTATGTTTGATTTAATTATTTATAGTGCTATATGTATAAATTAAAAAGTGGTATTATTAACCATATGTAGTGTTATATGTCTACCATTATTAATATTATTAAATTTAGATTTTATTTAGTGATTCAATATATGTTGATCAAGTATCTATAGATTTTAACTATTTAAAAGTTTTATAGATTTTAATCCTTTGATTGACTCAAATATATTATTTTAATTTTTGAAATGTATTTATTAATTAATGTTATAAATATAGATTTGATTATATGTTCATTTAGTATATGTAAATTTATAAATATCAAACATAATATCAAAATATATATATATATATATATATATATATATATATATATATATATATATATAATTTTAATATTATGTTTGATATTTATAAAATTTATTTTTGGTATATATTAATTAATATAATATTTTGATTTTTGGCAATTTGTTCATCATCATTTGATTCATGTGGTCTCAGAGAATCTTTGTGTACTTGTTGTCGTGAAGTTGCTCACCTTATGGATTCACGATCAGAGATATTCGCCGTCATATAGAAAATCTCAATAATGATTTGACCTTTCCTTTAAATTTTTTTTTGTTTTAGTTTCTTCTGTTAGTTCTTTTCTATTTTTTTTTTTTGCATGTTTGTAGATTTTTTATTAACAGAATTTTAGGTTGTGTTACAATTTTTTTTACAGATTACAATCTTATCATGTTATTGGAGTTTTTTGAGATTAACTCGGCTGAAATCTAGGAATAAGTAATGCTTTTGTTGTTTTTCGATATTAGATGCAAAGTGAATTTGGAGGGAGTTGGGTTGACTGGTTACAGATTGCTATTAGGGTTAAGAGTACTAGATCTGAATTGTATATTAAATTTGGGTTATCTTTTGACATAAATAAATCCAAGGTGAGTATAAAAATACCTAGAATCGACACAAATATAAAAATAATACTTAATAAACTAATTTGTGGGCGTGATGGCTCCGCCACTGTCTATTGGCCTTAGTTTTGAAGTGCTTTACAGGTTTCCACCTCTCGTTTTTAATGTATATTTTCCATTAATTCATGTGCTTTGCAGGTTTCTTGAAGCTCAAGTTTAAATCTTTTCTTTATGATATTGGCCTTTGGATATGAATTCAGAAATGCATATAACATGATTTTGCACAAATTTGATGACAAGCTTTACACTGGACTGGTTACAACTATGACTGTGCTACTCCAAGAAATATCGATATCTCTTGAGGCTGCACAAGGTGATTTGTTTCTTGAAGAACTGAACAGGAAATGGAATGACCACAACAAGGCCATCCAAATGATTCGACAAATATTTATGTACATGGAGAAGACTTATGTTGCAAATACTCACAAAACCCCTGTGTCTATGATCTGGGACTCAACTTGTGGAGAGATAATATTATACGTTCCGAAAAAATTCAGCCAAGGCTTCTGAGCTCACTTCTTGAACTAGTGCATCGAGTGCAAACCGGCGAAGTTATCGATCGTGGTTGATGAGGAACATAATCAAGCAGTGGCGGAGTTATATACTTTTTATGATGGACACGTGCCTAATCTAGAATTTAAAATTAGTTTATTAAGTATTATTTTTTATATATGTACTCACTTTAAAATTAATTTGTGTATATCCTAAATTTTTTTATACCCATCTGGCTTTATTTATGTCAAAAGATAACAAAATATGCCTATTATAAACATTATTTTTGTTTGAGTTTAAAAATTTCATTCATTAAGCCCGAATTGAAATAACACTAAAAATATATTTAGTTAAAACTCAAATTCAATATGAACCCAAATTTAATATACAATCCAGATTTATTACTCTTACCCCTAATAACAATCGGTAACTGGTCAACTCAATCACTCCAAATTCACTTTGCATCTAATATCGGAAAAATGACAAAATCATTACTTATTCTCAGATTTTAGCGAGATTAATCTAAAAAAACCCAATAATATGAGAAACTGTAATTTATAAAAAAGATTTGTAATATAAACTAAAACTCTAAAAAAAATCTATAAACCTGAAAAAAGATAGAGAAAAACTAACAGAAGAAACTAAAACTCTATTGGCAATAGAGTTTTGGTTGTAAATCTCATGAATTGCATGCTCGAGAATGTTCCAAGTCTTGTCTGCATATGTAGAATCCACCACGACGCGGTTCTTGAGTGCTTCTATTTGGAAAATGTCATTCTTCTGGTTTCCATGTTTCCTTTTTCTTTTGCTTATAATCTTGAAACCCGAAAGGAGCAAGAAAACAAAGAGAAAACAGATAATTCAACGATCAATAGGGAAGATGGTTATGGGAGGATTGACCAATAAATTCTTTCGTTGGGATTAGGGTTTGAAGATTGAAAGATTAACTCTTGATTACTTATATAGAAAAGGATGGATATAAACAGCAGAGAAAGCGATGAAAATGAAAATTGAAGCAGGTATTTATTATTACGTTGACATGGCGACGATGAGAAGAATGATCACTGAAGGTTGACAAAGCGACGATGAAAGCTGATAAAAGCAACTTTTTGGAAATGTTTCAGGAAGAATGGGATCTTGTATGTTATTATATATATAGAGTAAGAGCTGAACCCAAACTATTATAACTAGAAAACAAGAATGATTATTTGAAAACACAAGGTCAATGATCTGATTATTTGAAATGCAGCTGATAAAATATTAGCATTTTCTGCTAAAACTAGGCCATCATGCACCGCTTGCCGATGGCAGACCCATCTGTGTTGAGCTTTGACCACCCATGGGGGATGGGATCCACTTATGACTTAACTGTTATGTTTATAACTGGTCTGGAGGAATAAATTTAAGTGGTGTCAACAAAGCATGGAATTGATCAAAAGCTTTATGCATGGCTTCAACTAGGACATAATCATTCAATTACGGAGCTGATAGGTCAGACCTTACGCCGCCGCCACTGTTCCATCACCTTACAGTCTTTTAAGATATGGTTTATCATTTCCCTATGCTAATTGCAAAGGGGACATGTGTCCTCCTTGTTCATGCCTCGTTTAAGAGGAAAGGTTAATTCGCTGGAAAGATTTCATGCATGCATTCCCATAGGAAAAATTTAATCTTGGGAGCAAGTTTTGCCTTCCGTATCATGTTCCAATCGAGTCGGTCACCAACAGTAGGCTAGTTCATTTTAGGGTTCTTGAGGTCCCAACCTTCAGCTTGAGCATATTCACTCTGTATAGAAAATAATCCTTTGGCTTCAAGATTCCAGCAAATATGATCATATCTCGAGATTGCAAGGTTAAATGAGGTATTACTAGTTGGAAAATATATTAATTGTTGTAAAACAAATCGTTAGTAAATAATTAAGAAAGTATGAAGGTGATGTTAAATGGTGGTCTGCCTTTGTGACTCTCTTCCAATGAATAGGGAACCCTAAATACTTCCCTAAGTCATTTGTAGAATTCATGTGAAACAAATTTGTTCTCTAGCTAGGTCCTGTGGCTCTGGGAAGTATTAGGGGAACATAAGATTCTAGATATGTCCAGATTAATTCACTTTTTGTTCAATTCTTTGGTAAAAACTTCATAGTGCCAACTGCCAAGTGTTGATGTCATTTTTCACAAAAAATAATAATATCATCTGCGAACAAAATGAGATAGGCTTCGTTCCTAAATGTTTTAATCAGCTTCTAAGCTTTACTTATACATGGGAAACTTTACCCTGATTTACTTGATCCAATACCTGATATTAATTCAAACATGATAATCAAATTTGATCCGATATCGGACCCAAACCATACCTGATCCAAAATTTAGCGAAACTGAAATCAACCCGAACCGAAACCGAAATTAACCCGAACCAAAAGCAACCCGTATCGAAAGCAAACCGAACCGAAATTAACTTGAACCAAATTTTAACCCGATTCAAAAGCAACCCTAACCGAATTTAACCCGACCCGAAAGCAACCTAAACAGATTAAAATTGATAAAAGTTATTAAATGATAAAAGTTATTTTCAAGAATAAATTAATTTAAATAAAATTGATAATTTATTAAAAATATTATATTTATAATAAATAATAGAAAGTTTAAGAGGAATATAAAAGTAAGAATCTAATTGTAAAATTAAAAACAGTAATAAATAAATTTTACTTATCTTACTTGTTATTAAAATATTAGATTTATAATAAAAATAATAGAAAACAACTAAAATAATGGAAGTAATATTAGATTTATAATAAAATAATATAAAATTTATTTATGTTACGACTAAAACTTAACAAACAAAATTATGTATTATTTTTTTAAAATTTAATAAAATATTAAATTGATAATAGAAAATAAATTTAAAAAAAAATTATTTCTTTATCAAATAGTTCCCATTACAAACTTTTCACACGAGATCAATATAAAATTTTGATAACAAATTCTAACACGTATTATAGGACCATATTTGTGTCAAATTATCGATTTATCATCTCTAAATATTGCTTTAATTCAAAATATTGAACGATTGAGAATTAAAATTAAACCTAAATTATAAAATTAACAAATAAGAAAAAAGTATTTTTACAAGTATATATAAATTATTCTATATACGCTTGATTTTGATTAGACTCATAACCAATTCAACCCGAATTGACATGATCTAAAGGTTGACCTAAACCGAAAATCAACCGATTCGATATTGACCCGACCTGAAATCTAACCGATCTAGTATTAACCCAACCCAAAATCAATCGATCCGGTATTGACCCGACCCAATATTGACCTGATCCAAAAATCAACCGTTCTGATATTGATCTGAACCAGAAAATAACTTATCTAATAATCACCTGAACCGAAAATTAACCCTACCTGATACACGATCCGATTCACTGTACAACCAAACTAGATCCGAACCATACCCAATCTAAACAAAATTAAATCGAATTTAATCTAGACCCGAAATTATTCGCCCCGAAATAACTCGATCCAAACCTGATCCGAATGACATGTTTGCCACCTCAGTGTTGGTGAGAAAGCTTTTGAAAGCCGAGGTACTCCATACATAAATAAATATGACTGCCATAGTCGAGATGGAAACATAACTCATGATTAGAAAAGTAGCAAAAAAGAACTCTACTCTATCGTAGCTCTTTTCCATGTTGATTTTGATCATCATGTCCTCAATTCAGCCTTCTTTTTATTTGACCGAACGTACCGCTTCTTGAAAGATAATGGCATTATCAGTGATAACCGGAAAATGAAAATGTGAAAAGATAGGAAAATGTGTGTATGCTCTTAAAATCGTGTTTTACTGCCCTTCGTCTTTGTCAATTGTGTTAAGCATATTGTTGTGTTAGAAGAGCTTTTTAAGTTTTTTTTTATATCCATTTAACCTTAGATATAATACCCTGTAATAAATCCTAGAGTCAATTTTTTCTCTCCTTCACCGGCAAAACTCTGGCCATCGTCTTCCGGTAACTATTTTGCCATCTTAAACCATGTAATGGGCTTTTAGGGCTTGAACTTTTGGGACCAAAGCAAGGAGGCTCAAATTGATGGGTTGATGGAGCCTAGCTTCACAAGAGGCCAAGCTCCAAATTCTCTTCTTAACTTTCGAGGTAACCCAACGGGTCCGGTATCCTTGTAAGGATTGAGCGACCAGATGGCCTTAGCAATTTCAACATCACTAACACTAGCTTCTCCAATTGGAGGAAAAGAGAGTGAATTCCAAGCAAATCAAGTGTCTCGAATTTCACAAGCTTCTAGCTCTCTTCTGTAGTGTAAAGGCTAGTGAAAATTGTTGGATTAAGCCCAGAATCCCTTGGGTGTTGCTATAGGTGATAAATTTTGCGGTAGCTCCTTTTTTCCAAGACTCTGTTTATTTATTTATTTTTACAAACCTCAATCAAGTTTATAACTTTGAGCATTCCCAGAATGAAATTTTTTCCAGCTGTTTTTGCAAAGTTCAAGCGAAAGAAGGAATTTAAGGCCTTGATCGGTGACATTAAATATATAAATTTTAACAATGTTAAAGTCAAATTTATGAACCTTTTTTATGGTGTTCAGCTACTGGGGGTGGGGTGAGGGGAGACTTCAAGAAGTTTTTAGACCATAGGGCTTTACGCTCAAAAGGGTATGGATTTTGATGTTGTGGAACCTTTTTTGATTAAGGGGTGAATCCAAATTTCAGGACTTATAAGATTTTGATAGAACAACTTGTAAGGCTAGAGTTGGCAGAGAACGATTTGATGTGGTGAAAAGTTTGCTTACTGAAATAAAGGAAGATGGGTGTATTTGGAATAAATTAAGGAGGCAGAATTTGTTGGTAAGGCTGATGAATTTCTTACAAAAATGTTGAACGCCGGAAGGATCAAGAGTGTTGTCTCTTGTGAGGATAATAATGATGAGGATGGATAATAGTGTGGAAGAAGGGATTGATATTCATATGGTAAAATTGAAATCATGGTTGGATCCAAAAACTCTCGCAAATTCTTTAATATTAGGGATGAGTATAGGTCATGTTTCTAGCCAACTTGATCCGACTAAAAAATATACACTTTTATAATATAATAATAAATATTAAAAAGATGATTGGAGCAATGGTTGACAAAGAATGTAAAATCCATTTTTGCCGACTGGCACAAAGATTTAGAGGGAGGAAAAGTAATAAGAGAGAACAGAGGGGGGGGCATGCAGTTGACGTTCAAACAAAGATGAGCGCATGGGACTGCAAGCTGAACCAACTCCCCCCAAGCAAGAAATATGGCCATGTGGAAACCAAGTTTCAGCTCTTCTGTTTTATTTATTTTAGTTAATTTTATAATATTTTCTCTAATTATATCGTAGTTGTCAATAGAATATGTAAATTAAAAGAAAAAAGTTGGAGAACATGCATGGATCCACCCCATTGAAATGGGGTAGGCTTGAGCTTCCATGTGCATGGAAATTAAGGCAGTGAGAATAATGGCAACAGACGCAGTCAACGGTTTAAAAGGTTAAAAAGGGGATGAAACAGAACATTGTAGCAGCTATAGTTGTAGTATTTATTAAAGCGTCTGAAAACAATTCTGTGGTGATGAGCCTGCAGGAGCAGGGGGGTAAAAGGAAATTGTCTGCTAAAAAGTTGTTTTTCCAACAAATCATTACTACGTCTAATCAAATAAATGTGTTTATGTATGTTATTTATTACACAATCTTAAATTTTGCTTTTTATGTTGTTCTAATCAGTGTCCCTGAAATGAGATTTAAACCCTAATGCGAAATCATTAAGTGAAATGGTGAAGTTATAATGGTTTAGATGATATACCATATGATTTTAAAATTTGGTTAAGTTTTAAGAAGAAGAAAAAAGAACTGGTATGGGAATAAGCGATTGCATCAGTTGGGGTATGGTGGTGGAGTGAAAGACAACACAAGGGGAGCTGGCAACAGGAGTTCTGCTCGGGATTTTCATATCGCTATTCTTATCAGATGGAGCCATTTTAGAGTTGCAGAGAGGAAAAGAAAGGACCAAAACTGATGGAAGGGGAAGAGGGTTTGGTCCTGATGCACGATAGGTGTCGGTGGGTTAGGTAGCAACCCCTGATCCCGACCCCCTCTTTGCTCTTGGCCCCATCCCTCTCTCTCTTTAGATGCACATCCAACTCATTTCTCTTTTTCTTTTAACCCAGCCATCTAAAACACGACATCTTTCACATACCCCCGAGAAACTCTAAACTTTTTTGTCACCCTACCTCTTTTTTTATATCTATAGAACAATCACATTTCTTCATGCAATAGTACTATAACATTATCTTTTAACTCTTTCATAATAACCCACTCCACATTAATACATATATTAGGAACCAATCAAGCTTCTTGAAAGTTGCTTCCCAATCTGAAAATTTTATTTATGTCTAAAGTCAAGTCTCTTTATTGAGAAAACACTACTATTTGTTACTAAAGTATGGGAAAAAAAGGATTGTACCAGGCAGATGACCCTCAAATTATTGGAATCACTCCATGAAATTGTTTTCAGAGTCATCACATTATCATACATAATTTATTAAGCAACCATCTTTAGAGGCGGTGAACAAGTCTAGATTCGAGAAAAAAAATCATGTTTTAATTTCACTAAAAAAATTTCAAATTCGAATTGAATTATAAAATAAAAATTAAATAATTCAAAAATTTTAGTTAGCAGTAGATTGATTTTTCAAGTTTAGGATCTCAACTCTTACAATATTTATATTGCATATGAAAAAAAATATAAAGAAAAATTTTAACTATACTAAATCAAATATACACCCGTAGCCACCTTTCCTCCTATTTGCCCTTTTTCTTCTTCTTTTTCTTCTTCTTCTTATTCTTCTTACCGTAGCCACTGTTCCCCCTTATATACTAAATCAAATATACACCCGTCTTCTTCTTCTTTTTCTTCTTCTTCTTCTTCTCCTTCTTCTTCTTTTTCTCCTTCTTTTTCTCCTTCTCCTTCTTCTCCTTCTCCTTCTCCTTCTTCTCCTTCTCCTTCTTCTTCTCCTTCTCCTTCTCCTTCTCATTCTCCTTCTCCTTCTCATCCTCATCCTCATCCTCCTCCTCCTCCTCCTCCTCCTTCTCATTCTCATTCTCATTCTCCTCCTCCTCCTCTTCCTCCTCATTCTTCTTCTTCTTCTTTTTATTCTTTAACGTATTGCATATAAAAAAATATAAAGAAAATTTTTAACTATACTAAATCAAATAAACACTCGCCTTCTTCTTCTTCTTCTTCTTCTTCTTCTTCAACGTATTGCATATGAAAAAAATATAAAGAAAAATTTTAACTATACTAAATCAAATATACACCCGTAGCCACCCTTCCCCCTAGCTGCCCTTCTTCTTCTTCTTCTTCTTCTTTAACGTATTGCATATGAAAAAATATAAAGAAAAATTTTAACTATACTAAATCAAATATACACCCGTAGCCACCCTCCCCCCTAGCTGCCCTTTTTCTTCTTCTTCTTCTGCTTCTTTCCGTAGCCACCCTTCCCTTAGCTGCCCTTCTTCTTCTTCTTCTTCTTCTTCAACGTATTGCATATGAAAAAAATATAAAGAAAAATTTTAACTATACTAAATCAAATATACACTCGTAGCCACCCTCCCCCCTAGCTTCCCTTTTTCTTCTTCTTCTGCTTCTTCCCGTAGCCACCCTTCCCCCTAGCTTTCATTCCCCTAGCTGCCCTTCTTCTTTCTTCTTCTTCTTCAACGTATTGCATATGAAAAAAATATAAAGAAAAATTTTAACTATACTAAATCAAATATACACCCTTAGCCACCCTTCCCCCTAGCTGCCCTTCTTCTTCTTCTTCTTCTTCTTCAACGTATTGCATATGAAAAAATATAAAGAAAAATTTTAACTATACTAAATCAAATATACACCCGTAGCCACCCTCCCCCCTAGCTGCCCTTTTTCTTCTTCTTCTGCTTCTTCCCGTAGCCACCCTTCCCCTAGCTTTCATTCCCCTAGCTTTCATTCCCCTAGCTACCCTTCTTCTTCTTCTTCTTCTTCTTCTTCTTCTTCTCTTCTTCTTCTTTCTTCTTCTTTCTTCTCTTCTTCTCTTCTCTTCTTCTTCTCTTCTCTCTTCTTCTTCTTCTTCTTCTTCTCTTCTTCTTCCTTCTCCTTCTCTCTTCTCCTTCTTCTCTCTCCTCTCTTCTTCTTCTTCTCTTCTTCTTCTTCTTTTTCTTCTCCTTCTCTTCTCTTCTTCTTCTTCTTCTTCTTCTCTTCTTCTTCTCCTTCTCTTCTTCTTCTTCTTTCTTCTTCTTCTTCTTCTTCTTCTTCTTCTTCTTCTTCTTCTCCTTCTTCTCTCCTTTCTTCTTCTTCTTCTTCTTCTTTCTTTCTTCTTCTTCTTCTTCTTCTTCTTCTTCTTCTTCTTCTTCTTCTTCTTCTTCTTCTTCAAACTTAAATCTAACGTGGAACATATTGCACTTCAAACTTTATCTTGAATGATTTGGAGATATTTTTTAATAGTGTCAATGAAAGAATTTTTGTACAATGTAATTTATATTTAGTGATCAAACAAGGATGATATTTTTTATTATTTATAATTCATCTCAAGTTTAATTAAATAAATTAGAGATTAGATAATACTTCAACATTATGGTAAGAGTTTTAAAATGATTTAATTTAATGATGTATATCTTAATTAATTTAATTATAAATATAAATTATAATTGACTATCAATTATTTAAAAATGAATGCTCAAATATGTTTATAAACAACTGCTCGAATATGAGATTCTAGGGATAATAATCATCCAGAGAACAATTAAAATCAATTAGTTTTATGAAAAATAATTCAAGATTTAAATAATAATTGAATGACATATCATACCATTAACTCAAAACATATAAAATCTCTGTATTCTAACGAAATAAACCCATCTTCATATAAAAAGACTAAATAAAACAATAGACTCATCATATAAGCATCTATCTCTCAGAAATTGATAGAAATTGAAATAGTATTAAAGAAAATTTTAGTTTCTTTTGTTCCTAGAAGCTAAAGGTTGAAGTTGATCAGGTATATAAGCTATCGATTTTCCACAAAACTCAGCATCACCTTCAAATTCAAAAAATTTCATGCTCTATGTCTTGTCATGGGATGGCTTTTTTCCCAGCAGATTTCATGCTCCAAGTCCAACCTCCTCATGATCAAGAAGATCATCAACGCCCCACTAATTCCATCGATCAAATTCTCCCTCAGGAATTCCATGGTACTACTCCATTTTTCTTCATGCTTATCATATGATCTTGTTTTGTCCGATTCCTGGTTTTGATTTTCTGGGTGCATTACCATAGGTGTTGCACCGTTTCCGGGGAAGAGATCAATTCCATTTCCAGGGATAGATGTGTGTGACGAGGCAAACGGTGAGGATGATTTATCAGACGAGGGTTCACAGGCAGGAGAAAAGAAGAGGAGGCTTAACATGGAAAAGGTGAAGACATTAGAGAAGAACTTCGAGTTAGGCAACAAGCTCGAACCTGAGAGGAAAATGCAGCTGGCTAGAGCTCTTGGACTGCAACCCAGACAGATTGCTATTTGGTTTCAGAACAGAAGAGCCAGGTGGAAAACCAAACAACTGGAGAAAAATTATGATCTTCTTAAGAGACAGTACCAATTGATCAAAGACGATAATGTCGCACTTCAAGCTCACAACAAAAAACTCCACGCACAGGTAATCTATTTATTATGATTAGTTTGACTACTTCGTAAGTTCATTAATGTGGTTGTTGTGTGCAAGTAGATAATGACACTGAAGAGCAGAGACGGAGCAAGTGAATATATCAACCTGAACAAAGAAACCGAAGGCTGTAGCAGCAATAGAAGCGACAACAGCTCCGATGTGAAGTTGGATATGTCGGTATCGGCACACGAGAGGCCGTTAACGACACTAGTGTTCCAGTCAGCATCGTCGAATTTGAGCCACGATGATCATCATAATCAGCCACCTCAAATGGTTAAAGAAGAAAGCCTCATCACCAACATGTTCTGCACCATGGAGGATCAAACCGGGTTTTGGCCATGGCTCGACCTACAACAGCAACAACATCATTTCAATTGAAGTTTGTTTTTAGAAATCAAGAGTTTGCTAAGTAAATTGCAGTGCAGATTGGTTTGCAGCAGCTCTAGCATGGGCCATGAAAGAATATAGAAAGGTGATTCCCTTTAGCTACAGGTTTTTTAATTATTGTTTCTTTTTCTTCTCCTTCTTGCTTTGAAATCATCTGTGTGTACTGTGGAGTGCACTAGTCCCTTGTAACGATAATTCCCCCCCCCCCCCCGATTTCATCAGTAATTGATCAGTACTAGAGGGTAAACGCCAAAATATATAATCCCAAGTTGATAATCTTAATTTAAAATTTTATATACAAGAAAAAGGAGAGTATCCAACTCACATTCCGAGGGAAGAAGATGACAAGCATGTACATGAAGAGTGGAAGCAAACAAGGGGTGCTGGAAAGGGTCGTTTTCCTGAATATCCACCCATTTCTTCTTTAATTAATTTACGAAAATTTGAACAAAAAACCCTAGATTAAGACGTAAAATCAATTTCATTTAAAAATGTTAACACGTTAGTTGATTGTTCATGTTTAAAATTTAACTAAATAAAATATTTAATTAAACATAGTATATTTTCTTAAAAGAAATATCATTATTAATGGTATGAATAGGAAGGTTGTAGTCTTGGATAGCTCATTTTTTTTAATGAAGGAAGAATCAAAATCGATGATGATTTAGAGAAAGGAGAGAAACGAACTGAAAAAGACGATGAACAATGTGTCTAAGGTTCAAGATCCTTTTTTCTGCTTTGTTTGTGTTAGTATATATGTCGCTAACATCATGCAATAGGATGATTGATGTCAATCATAGAATTGATGTTCATTGCTGAGTTGACAAGTGGATAGATCCAATTATCAAATAATAAATTTAGTTGGTAACATAGATTAATAATGTTCATATCAAAGGAGTGTAACCAAACAGAGAAAATAACAAATTATATTCGGCTGAGCTTTAAGATATCTTAAGAAAAAATTTGAAAATCTAAGAAATCTTTATAAGGAAAAGTGATAATAAAAATATATAAAATTATAATTTACGGAGAAGATAGAACATATATTAACATATTTAAAAAGGATTCTTATATTATATTTATAAATATGGATGGTATGGTTAGAATGAGAAGTGGTAATCGTATATTATGTTACATTACGGTTTGAAGGTAAGTTATCACGATCTAACTTAATCCCGTGTTTTATCATAAAAATCAGATTCAACCATTAAACATACATTGAAATTATTCTTTTTTATTTTATTTTATTAATTCAGAATAAGTAAAATTCGAGTCCTCAAGGAACAATTCATTCACTACGGAGACCACTTGGTTCGGGTAAAATTATTCATTTCAAATATTCATTTATTACTTAAAATTTCATCATCTTCTAGTATTCATGTTTTCGGCATTAGGCATCATCTTAGTACATTTGTAACCTTACTATAATCAATTGAATACTAGAGTCCTATTTTCACAACACTTTGATGAATCATTCTCCTTCTCTAAGTAATTGTCAGTGGCATCCCGAAGCAATAAGTAGATATTGATATAAATCAAGACTTGAAACTCAACTAGTCTTTTGGAGTCAGCCAGATAAAACCCTAATTTCACACAAACAAGTTAATGATGTAATTATAAATTAAACGCGACGTTTAAGTAAAAAATATTATTCAACTATACTTTTTATTATGGGATCATGTGAAGAGATTTGAAATAATCTTCGAACAACACGCAGGCTGCAACTACCGACATTTGGCGAGCAGAGTTTTAAAACAGCATTTATATTTGATGTATACATGTTATCGACTTATCGGTATCTAAATTTATACATAGATAATAAATTATATAGATTTATACATGATTAATATATTAAATATAAACACTACAAAATATTAAAAGAAAGTTGCACTTCTTAAGATACAAGTGAAAATCTAATGCGCTAAACCATGTGTAACAGCATTGACAGTACGACAGATATATTAAACTAGTATATTGATGTAAATAAATAATAAGCGGCGGTGCTTCATGTAAATGGAAGTTTACCATGAACAATTTATCTGCGGAGTTTAAACCCAAATAAACGTTCATTACAGTAAAATGGGTATTTAACGGCGGTTTTTGCGGAGTTTTAAAAACAAACGTCTCTAATTTTATGCATAAAGCGGCGTTTAGGGGAAAATGCCACAAAATAAAAATATTAGTGACGTTTTTAATAAAAACACTGTAATAGACAAATATAAGAAGACGTTTTTATGATAAGGACCATTATAGTTGCGGTAGTTTCCTCTAATACCTAGGCTTCAAAAACTTTTTATGTCTTCGAAGATTGTTGAGTATATGAGGTGGCATCATGATGGACGAACCGATGATGGGTTATTAAGTCATCCTGCGGATTGTTTAGCTTGGAAGTCATTTGACAAAAAATTTTCAAGTTTTGCAAGAGATCCTCGAAATGTTAGGCTCTATCTTGCATCTGATGGGTTTAATCCTTTTAAAATCACAAGTACTTCGTATAGTACTTGGCTTGTTCTGTGTATTCCCTACAATTTGCCTCCGTGGATTTGCATGAAACAATCATTGTTTATCTTATCAATGATAATCCCCAGTGAGAAAGGTCATGAAAATGATATTAACATCTATATACAACCTCTTTTTAAAGAGTTGAAACAATTATGAGTGGATGTTGAAACAATTATGAGTGGATGTTGAAACATATGATGTGTTGAAGAATGAGAACTTTAATTTATGTGCAGCTTTATTATGAGCTATTAATGATTTCTCTGTTTATGCAAATTTATCTAGTTGGAATACCAAAGGTCTTTATGTTTGTCCTTGTTGTGCTACGCATACATCTTCAAAATGGTTGTATAATGGAAAGACGTTCTCTTACATGGTACATCATTAGTGGTTAGGTGAAAATCACATATTTAGATATAAAAAAATATATGTTTGATGGTACTGAAGAGTTTAGAAAAGCTCCTGAGCAAGCAATCGGGTCTGATATCTTGTCAATGTTGAAACATGTCAAGTTCACTTATGGAAAGATGAATCAACTATCGAACATGCGATCAAAGTAAAAGACAAAACAAATGAATGATCATGATGTTGAACAACAAAGTGATGATGAGTCTCATGAAGAGGATGATCCAAATGAGGTGGATTTGTGGAAAAGAGAAATATTTTCTTTGAGTTGCCATATTGGAAGGATCACATTTTGAGACATAATCTTGATGTCATGAATATTGAGAAGAGTGTTTTGTGAAAATATTATCGGAACAATTCTCAATGTAGATAGTAAATCTAAAGAGAATCTAAAGAGTCAAATTGACTTAGTTGACATCATAATTCGGCGTGATCTTCATTCTCGATTACTTCCTAATGGAAAATCTTGATTACCGCCTTCTATTTTTACGTTGTCGAAGAAAGAAAAAAAGTGTTTTGCATGATGTTGAAGGATGTAAAGGTCCCATACGGGTATACATCAAATATATATCGATGTGTCAGTGTTAAAGATCATAAACTTTATTCTCTAAAGTCACATGATTATCATATATTGATGCAAGATTCACTGTCAGTTGCTTTACGTGGTTGTATGTCGAATAAGGCGACGTATTGTATAATTGAACTTTCCAATATTATGAAAGCTATTTGTGGGAAAGTTCTAATGGTTGAAGAACTTGAGAAATTGCAAGATCAAGTCCCCTTGACTTTATGTAATCTGAAGAAGATATTTCTACCTTCATTCTTCACAATTATGATGCACTTATTGGTTCATCTCCCTCACGAAGCTAAAATTGGTGGACCAGTTATATATCGATGAATGTATCCTATAGAGAGGTGATAATGGACTTATATGTATTCAATTGCTATTGAATATATCTTTTAATTACAACTATTAATATAATGTTGTGTTGTGTTATGTGCCTAGGTTTTTGTGCAAGTTGAAGTCTTACTGTCGTAATAAGTGATATCCAGAAAGATCAATTGTTGAAGGGTATTTTGTAGAGGAGTGTATGACTTTTTTTCTTTAGATATTTGGATGATGTTGAAATAAAGTCGAATAGGCCACATAGAAATGAAATGTGCAATTTGAATAACTTAGTTGAGACATATTTGTTTGGAAGTTACGGTGAACCACTCGGCAAAGTTGAAATTGCATAACTAAATGATAAGTCTTGGGTACAAGCACACTGATATGTTCTTTTCCATTATGATTCAATTGATCCCTTACGCAAGTAAATTTTTCAATTAAAATTCTAATGTTTCACTTAATCTTTTATATTTCTCATTTTTAACCATTTAATCTACTTTATAGTGATTTTAAAGAAGTCTTAAGATTTCGTTCGCACAAATCAACGAGAGATTCATAAATTATTCATAGAAACTTTTCATGAATGGTTAGAACAGACGATAAGCAACTAAATATTTGCACCACACGTAAATAATGTATAACTCTTCTTCTTTTAATATATTGATATAAATGCTAACTAATTCACATTTTACGCATAATAGGTTTGAAGTAGGAGGGAAATTAGTGAAGAGGTTAAATGGCTTTCTCAAGGTCCAAATAGAATTGTTGAAAAATATAATGTATTCATCATTAATGGGTTTAGGTTTCACACGAAATCTCGTGAAAGATTACGAATGACACAAAATTGTGGACTAGTTGTTACTTCTTCAACTACAAGTTATGCAAGTACTAGAGATAATCATCATGTGGAGGGAGATGTAGAATATTATGGAATCCTTACACATTAACAATTAGGTTTTACAATGATGAATTTCTCTCGATTAATTCACACTAGTCTACAATTGATGGATAAGCCTTATGTATTTTCTTCTCAAGTCAAACAAGTTTTTTATTGTCACGATCTAATGGATGAGGGTTGGTATGTTGTACTCCGCAATACCCCTAGAAACTTGATAAACATCGAGGATGGAAGTAGATATGACATTGAAACAAGATCAGAAACTTTGCCTTTTGTCACACAAAATTTAGATGAAACTAT